CGGTAACTCGTGTGTATTTACGGAACATACCCTAAATATCTTAACTAAGGGAAGTGCTTTTGGATTTATTTACACAAATTAAATGTTTAAAGTTTAACCTGTGAACTGGTCCCAATTTCATCTGAGTAAACAGAAAGAAAAAAACTGATGAAAAAATTAATTTTGTGGTTATGGATTTTTTAAAATAGGTACTAAATTTTCTAATCATTGCTTAAGCTAATAGCTGGATGAGTTAATAAATACAGAAGGGTATTAGAGCTTTAAGGGCATAAAACTTTTGTATTTAATGAGTTTTTATTTATTAAATTTTTAGTAACAATTTTTTACATCTGGCAACGCGTAGCTACTTTGTTGGTTGGTATCTATGTACTCACAGAATACAAGTATGCAGAGATAAACTAAGTGTGTAACCAGTGGCGTATCACAAAAAATATAAAAAACTTCTAATGCATATTTTTTCTTTATCTTTGGAAAAATATTTTTTTAAATATTTTTCCTTTATTCCTTATGTCAAAAGGTATTTAGTATTTTAATATATAACATTAATTACATAACACCCTGTATATGAAAGTTTTTTATTGTATATACCCCTCTCGATTATTTCTTATGGGCTACCTTAAATCAAAGGTCTACATCAACAGACCACAAAATTTAGAAGACTTGAAAAATCAAATTCGTTAAGAATATCGCTTTATTAGTGCGGAAGTTATCCAAAACGTTCACAGACATTTTTCGGATAGGCTTGCTTTATGAATTTGTTCCATAGGTTTGCCGGTCACTTTATATTATTTTTTAGTTATAATTTAAATTAAACTATTGTTTAAAACTTATAGACCACCCGATAATTGAATCGAGGAGGATAAAATCCGTCACCAAACTTCCAGGAAATTATGACGTAACACTAAATTTCCACGAACATGAAAGGACGTCACGCCTTCCTTTATTTTGTGGTTACGTCCTTAATAATAAACATCCCCTACTATACGTCAAGGAGATGCACAAAGGTACATCACGTTGTGGGTGGGAAAATGTAATAGTTTATTACTTCAATCAACAACTAAATAACTTAGACAGTAACCTTAAAGGTCGACAAGTTCTCAGCAGTCTATCATCAAGTTGTTTACTCTTATACACGTATATATATATATTTAGATCAAATTAACAGAGTCTGCTTTAATTTAACTTAACTTTTTACAATGCAGAATGAAGCATGCATAAAGGATACACAAGTCAAAGGGGCAAAGTTAGAAAAAGATGCCTAAAATTTGTTCGCGAACATATTTTGAATCGATTTTGTTAAGACATCCTAATTTTTCCTTTTACAGTTGGTTGTAGAATTAACATAAAGTTATGTGGACCTGGATTAACATAAAATCTGATTAATATTTGGTTAAAATTAACAAATATTTTTTACGGTGTATTGATTGAAAAACTATCGGCCAAAAGAAATTTAAAAAAATCAGTATCAGTATCTAAAACTTACCTTTATAACAGCCAGTTTCGTAATCAAACTTTAAAATGTACTAAAGATAAAGTTTACTTTAAAGAAAGCTAAAGTTAAGGTGTTTCATAATCCTACCCATTCGAAATTTTAACTAAATTTTCATTAGTTAAATCTATACTTTAGACAAAATTTGAACAGTAATAAATCAAAAATAGGTAATAATTTCTCCACAGAGGACGAACTTCTTTTGTTGGATGAAATTGGAAAACAAAAAAAGATGTTGGAAAATAAAAAACCAACAATATTTCTGGCAATAAAAAGGTAATACCTCATAATCTCCCCTTGATAAATAGGTAGACTACTATTGATAGACTACGCAATAAAAAGTTTTTATGGCTATAGCCCAATTCTTGGACCTATATATAGGTCCAAGAATTGTCCCTGAAATGTAAGGCTTTACTTTCTATAAAAAATGATCTTTATATAAAACAATAAACCAATAAAAGCACGGCGTTCTCCAGAGCACACTTGTGTAGAAACAGAAACAGAAACGGAAACAGAAACAGAAACAGTAACGGAAACGGAAACCGAAACGGAAACAATGATACAGAAACAGAAACAATGATCAGAAACAGAAACAGATACAAGAAACGGAGACGGAAACAGACACACTAGGTCCTATGGGGAATGCCGTATTTTGATTGGTTTATTGCTTTATAGAGATAATTTTCTATAGAAAGTAATGCCTAAAATTTCAAGGATAGTTTTTGGACATATAGCCCCAAAAACTTTTTTTGCGTAGTCTATCAAAACGAACTAAAATAACTGATCTTTAAAAAAAGATTGGGTTCTATCTCCAATTTAAATAAGATTTGACCTGAGGGCAAATATTGTTTTAGTTGGAGATGGAACTAATTCTTTATTTAAAGATCAGTTCTTTTAATTCGCTATTGGGTGGGTGAACATATTTTTTAAATTATTTTCGTTGTTGTAGTCTGTTTTAGATAGTGATTATCTTATGGAACCAGGCGCCCAGACCCATTTTAGTATAATTTCACAATCTTCAGATTTTTGAATTAAATTAAAACGTTAGATGGATCTCGTTTTTAACGTGGACCACGTTGTTGTGCACCGGCGCTAATCTATTTTTAACTACATTATCTGTCATTTCCTTTTCCTACCGTTCCTTTCCTTATTTCTTTATTACGACCAGATATGGAAGAACTTCAAAGATATCAAAGGACGGTAGAATTTCTGGAGGTCAATAATTATTATATGTAAGTATGTAAAGTCATATAATAAAAGTTTTTATTTGTTGTGCGATATTTTAGTCTGGAACCAGTCTGGCGCCCAGGAGTTTCTTATAAAACCTCTTTTTTTTCCTTCCAATTAGACCCATTTTAGTTCAATGTCACAATCTTCAGATTGTTGAATAAAATTAAAACGGTAGATTGATCTTGAAGGTACTTTTTGGATTTTGTCTCGGAACATCGGTAATCCGTGCCAACCCGTTTTTAACGTGGAGCACGTTATTGCGCACCTTCTTTAATCTATTTGTAACTTTATTATCTGTCGTTTCCTTTTTCTACCCTTCCTATTATCCTAATTCCTTCATTTGGACCTGATATGCATGGACTTCTTGGAACTTCAGGGTGTAAGTGGATCTTATATACGAGTATGTATACAACTAGTAAATTTATTTTTTTGCGTGTTTTTGTTTATTTAAATACTTTATCTGTTTTAGGAAATGTTAGGTACATAATATGATAAGGAGGGGTGGGTAACTCCTCCAGGTCTTTTTAACTTGCCGGTCCCAAGCCCGGATAAAGAAGAAGGGCCATACCCTTTCCTATATTTTTTTAGATTGTTTTCGTCGGGTCAAATCTTGTTTATCTTTGAGATGGAACTTTGGTTGTTTTTGTCAGGTTGGAACTTTTTCTTTTTTAAAGATCAGTTCTTTTAATTTCTTTTAGTATAGCTTCCTATTTAACACCTTGTTTGGGTAGAAAATTGAACGTTTTCATATTTTAAAGATCAGTTCTTTTGGTATGAACTTTATTTCTTGTTCGGCAACCCTGACGAAACTAATGTTCATTCAAAATTTAAAGTAAATTTTATTTTATGTTTTTTTGACATCTGATAACTGTCACCCCACTTTTTACTAATCTGACATCAGTTTTATCATCATCGGATTTAACCTCACTTTTTTCCAATTTAATGCACTGGTGCATTAAGTAACTCAATACACCAGCAGGTACATTAAATTTGAAAAATAATAGGAAAAAATGGAAAACCATCCTTGAAATTTTAAGCTTTACTTTCTATAGAAATTATGAAGAAACGAAAACCCTAACGAAACTAATGTTTATTCAGAATTTAAAGTAACTTTTATTTTTCCGTTTTTTCTGACATTTAATAACTGTCACCACACGTTTTACCAATCAGACGGGTTTGATCGCTTTTTTTCCAATCTGACATCTGTCAAACTGTTTTAACCTCACTTTTCTCCAATTTAATGAACCAACAATTATAATTTTTTACATATGTATGATGCGCTTTATTTTAATAGTTTCATTTTATATACTCAAATATTCATCTAACCAGTGTTCCAAACAATTTTTCTAAAAACAACAACACATGTGTTCTAGAGGCAATATCACTTTTCTCAGCTGACCGTCATGTGATCTGTCACTACGTGTTTTACACGAAAATTTGGTATTTTTAAAGAGATAGAATTTTGAAGCAGGTAAAAACGGATATTTTGCAAATTTCGATCAAAATACTAACTAAAGAAATTTTCAGTAAATAATATTGTATATTTACTAAATAAACATAATTATTTTTTTCTATCCTGTTACATTTTTATTTACTTTACTGATTTTAAATTAATTTAATTCATTTTTCAAAACAGGAGAATGCGCTAGTAAATATAAAATATAACTAGTTTGTTTAAGAGTCTAAAAGTAAAAAAAAAAACTAGTTTGAAAAAAAATATATAATTTTTTCACACTTTTTTAGTATTTTTTCTTTGTTTTTTGTGGTCGGGGTCAGGTTAAAAATTAATTTAAAAATCTAAAACTTTGGGAGGACCATTAGAAGAGTCTTAAAGTAAGAAATAAGTATTTTTTCTGTGTTTTTTGTTAAAGTGGTCGGGGCTCAGGTTAAAAATTAATTTAAAAATTTGAAACTTTGGGAGTACCTTTAGAAGAATCTAAAAGTAAGAAAACACCTCGTTTTCTGATTTTTTTGGTTAAAGGGGTCGGAGCTCTGGTAAAAAAATAATTTTAAAATCTGAAACTTCAGTATTCTGAATACGCACAAACGTATATCCCAATTTAAGCAAAATTGCAGAATCTGATACACTCATTTGTTGGGTAAATTTGGCATGGTTATATAATTTTGTTATAATGAAATAAATAGGACCTGTGGGTCATCTGGTTTCGGTTAATTAGGCATTAAATTTCTTACTGTGCGCAATTAGCCTCATCAAAGGCACGTGAGGGAGTTGAGCGACAGCTGCTGCTCCCCTGTGTCTCGGGCTCCTTTGTACACTCACCTGAAAACTGTGATTGACGTTTTTGGTTGAACACTCGGCTAGGCACAAGTCGGTGAGTTCGATCTCGTCGAAAATCACAGCCTGAAATAATTTAAATCGCTTTTAGTTTTCGGGACAGAAACAAACTTTTTAATTAAGTCGTTATAAGATTTCGCGTTACGGTTTATCTTTTAAAAAATACCCCAAATGGCTCTTTTCACTTTGGAATTTGGTTTAAATGTTTGAGTGGCATTTATAAATATTGGGTTGTTTTCAAGGTCTTTATAATAAAAGTTATTTTTACTAAAAGAATTTAGAACAGAGGAGAAATTTGTATAGCCTGTGAAGCCCCTACTTACCAGCAAAGAGCGTAAACATTTATTGGGGTTGATCTGGACATATAAATTGTATTTTCATCAAGTTTGACCAAAAATTGACATATTTTATGCCAATAATTTCCCAACGCAATAGTACAAAAACTGCATGAAAATAAATTTTATTTATTTTTGGCCAACTTCGTTTGTAAAGAAATTTGGTCGAAAATTGGCAAAGCGTTTGTAATGCAGGTTGTTCCAAACTTGGCAAATAATTGATCAGCATGGAAAAAGAATCAGTTTACTATGCGCAATAGCGAGTTATAGGTCGTTAAAGTAGATTAATATTTCAATACCTTCTCTACAAAAAGGCGTAAAAAAATGCTTGTGTAAAAGTTATAACAAAAAATATAAACATCCGTGCACTAACTAAACTTGTGTTAGTTTTAAACGGCTTTAAATTTTGAGAAAGTAATTAAGGTTATGTTTTCAAGTTATTTAATAAATAATTCAATTATTATACAATTTCTTACTTTTCGAAGATTGTTATTCCCTCGTTAATTTTGAAGTAATATAAATTTAGATTGGTAGTTCTATATAATGTACTTATTTTTTGTTCATTGTTGCAGATTTTCATCTCGTTGCATGAAGTTGCAGTAAAGGTAATTGTAATTTTTGCATTGAATTTTAATATTGATTTCTTTTTTTATTTTAGAAGTTCTTCATAACATAAAGTTACCAATCACAAATAATTTTACAATAAGTTATTAATGTTTAATAAAACATAATTCTTAATAGCCTTATCGTAATTCTATTTGTCTCATAATATTATAACACGTATAAAGGTATTTTTTCTAGAGAGTTTGAACACGAGAGATTTCATCCTCCTGGGGCTGTAGAGTTTTAGAGGACGGGGCCAGAAATCAAAGAAAAACCTTATTTTACAAAACAAATTAAAAAACTTTTCTTAGGATTCTTCATAAAAAATAATATTTTTTTCCAATTTTTATTATTTTAAATATTTTTTTATTATAATAATTAATAATTATTATAAAATGTAAATACAAAATGTTTTAATTGTTTTCTGTGCCTGTATTTGTATATACAGGATGTTATGTAATTAATGTTATATATTAAAATACTGAATACCTTTTGACATAAGGAATAAAGGAAAAATATTTAAAAAAACATTTTTCCAAAGATAAAGAAAAAATATGCATTAGAAGTTTTTTATATTTTTTGTGATACGCCACTGGTTACACACGTGGTTTATCTCTGCACACTTGTATTTTGTGAGTACATAGAAACCAACCAACAAAGTAGCTATGCGTTGCCAGATGTAAAAAATTGTTACTAAAAATTTTTCTTGCAAAAAATAAATAAAAACTCAATAAATACAAAAGTTTTATGCCCTTAAAGCTCTAATACCCTTTTGTATTTATTTACTGATCCAGCTATTAGCTTAAGCAATGATTAGAAAATTTAGTACCTTTGAAATTTGAAATCCATAACCACAAAATTAATTTTTTCATCAGTTTTTTTCTCTGTTTACTCAGATGAAATTGGGACCAGTTCACAGGTTAAACTTTAAACATTTAATTTGTGTAAAGAAATCCAAAAGCACTTCCCTTAGTTAAGATATTTACAATTTAAAAACATAACCTAAAATTTAAAAGAAATGCACTAGATTCTGTCATAAAAGTTGGCAGATTTTGTTTGAATTTACCTTCAGTACAAAAATGACATAACCAACAATTAATAAAAACGCCAAATTGACAATTTGTTAATTTTGTCATTTTTGTAATTAAGCTAAATTTAAACAATGTTTGTAAACTTTTTTGAGAAACACTGTTGTTACCAACCATAACATAATAAATCCACCAGATTAACCTAAAGTTCCTAGTCGATCAGTGGCGTACTTTTTGGTAGGATAAAGGTTATTATAAATTATTTTTAGACTTTGGAATTTAGAAAAAAAAAGTTTCAGGTGCTTCTTTATGGACCCTAAGGAACAACCCATTTTAATATATAACATTAATTACATAACACCCTGTATAAAGCGTTTTATTTACCCAATTTTCAAATACTCTCCAAAACATAGATTTTGATGAAAACGAGAAATTTTATGTATTATACTTTCAAATATAATTATAATATTTGTAAATACTCTGAATTTGTTCAAATATTTACAAATATCATGTTATTGGTAAATTTTTCAAAAGCCTAATATTTGCCCAAAAAACATTTTGTCATCGTTTTTCCATGCCCAAAAATTCCCAAAATTAGCGGTAACTTACCTACCTAACCAAATCCAAACTGCTTTTGGATATTATTGAGCACAATTTGATCATTTATTGTTGCTCATCACGAACTTTTCCAAAGCTAAAGGGGAAATTCTTGGCCAAGTTTTAACCTGATATGGCTCTCTGGGTTCGCTACTATTTAACCCGCCATGTAGCTTGACATTTTCATTAAAAAAAAACAGTAAATAAATTGCATTATTACAAAAAGTAATTTATTTTGTAATAATTTATTAATAGCTTTGAAATAAAATTGAAAATTTTGCTTCTCTATCTAAAATTGTCTTTTAAATTGAAACAAATTGTTTCAAAAAGTTTTATTATTATTCCTTATACCAGTTAAATTTTTATTAAAATCTATAATCCTTATAGCGTAGCTATAGCATGCTAAATAGAAGATCCTGTGTTAAAACCTTTCTAAAAATAACACAAAAAATTTTAATTACGAATTTTACATCAAATAAAGTCCGTAAAATGTAATTTTAAACGAATTCGAATGCATTAAATAGAGCTGTGAGATTGTGACTCGCGTATCGTGGCGAGAACATGGCTTTATGGCTCTATAAAGTGAGATTGTAATTTGCACAACCATTTAATTTAGAGAGTTAATTTCGAAATTTTAGCTTTTGCTAAGGGATAATTCAGCATAATCTACTTATGAAAACCCACTTCCAATCGTATCGTTTGATGAACTTTATTTAATAATTTCTGCCTACGTATTGTAGACTCATTATCAGGCACGAGCGAAGCTTGCGAGCGAGTGTAATAAATACAAGTGTCTAGAGAAGTTTATAAAACTAGTTGACATGTCAACTCACATCTGACGAATGTGACGAATTTATCCTTAATTTTTTGGCAATTTATAACAAAGCCACCTTTAGCCCGTGACTAAAATGCCCAAGAATCATTATTGCTAACTTCAGCCCGTGACTTAAATGCCATAAAGTTACAGCTTGTTAATTTGGTAGTAGATAATAGTATAATATTATACGAGTGTAATACTATACTTTATCTACTCCAATAAGTAGATAATAAAATGATTTTCAAAAATAAATAAATAAAATTTGACATCTGTCAAATGGTTAACCTCACTTTCTACCAATTTTAAATGTTGTGAGTCGCTTTCTCCCAATTTAAAACCCGATTGGTTCAAGTCACAGTGAATATTTAAAACTGCCAATCACTGATGCCTAACAACGTGAATAATGAGTTTAATATTCCCGTTGTTAGGCGGGTAATTTATAATGTTTATTATTATTCACTAAAAAAATTTCAATAGGAGTAGATAATATTATAAAAAAATGATTTAAATTAAATATTTGTATAAAGCGAAAATAAAGTAACCATCCCAATAAACATTTTGACGTAATTTTACGGGAAAAGGTAAAGGTACAAAAAGTTATAGTTGTATTTATTTGAATTCCCGTTAGAATTTTTAACTTGGGAATCTACCGGCGTTCAAATTTCAAAATTTTCTGTGTAAATCAAAATTTATACCTTGAAAATAGACTAACAATCGATATAGAAGGAGTTTTTCACAGTAAAAGAGAAGTGAATGTTTTAAGGGCACTGTCCGCACAATTTTTAACGCTTTATCAGTTAAATCTAGTTAAATACACTACTACAGCGAAATCAAAAGGTCAGTACAAACGTTAATATAATCTTTTCAAATATTGGCATCAAGAATCAATTTGATACGTTTGTATTTTTAACCATTGTATGATATTTAATAACTCGCGACCTGAGAATTAGATTGTTCTATCTCCCAAAATTTAAAGAGGAACAATAGCAGTTTTAAGTTTAATTTATATACAAATGAAATTTTAAAAAGCTGTTTTTGCGTGTTTAGGTTTTGGGAGATTCTATCTTTTAAAAATCTGACACGGAAAAACAGCTTTTTAAAATTTCATTTGTATATAAATTAAACCTTAAACTGCTATTTGTTCCTCTTTAAATTTTGGGAGATAGAACAATCTAATTCTCAGGTCGCGAACTGTCAACTAACTTAAAACTAACTTCAGCCCGTGACTAAAACCCTGTTTCTAACTTGAGCCCGTGACTAAAGCTGTCAACTAACTTAAAACTAACTTCAGCCCGTGACTGAAAACCTGTTTTTAACTTGAGCCCGTGACTAAAGCGCAATAAAGCCATGGAAACATGGTGGGAGTGAAACAAAAATATTAAGATAAAGTTTTATAACACAATACTTAAGTAGCTTAAGTCTTAAACTTCAACCTAATAAAGTGCATAGGTCATCCTTAAACTATAAAAATGCCAAGATTGTCCCCACTAAATCACATGAGATAACTTTAAAGTGGATAAGAAAAATGCTACCAAATGAATCTGAAGCTTTTCTAAACCTCTTTCCAAAGCGCCCCTTTAAATACTTTTTATAACTATTGGCAGAGAGAAAATTTTCTGCAACGAGATAAGGCACGTATTCCCATTTGAAACTATAATAAAAAAGGTAATTAGTATCTGGTTCGTA